GCCACAGCCGCAGCCCCCTCCGGTAATCCCCCAGCAGGGAGCTCTGCTGAGCCCACCTCAAAGGGACAGGGTGGGTGTGAAGAGGTAGCTGGAAAAGTCAGCTGGCACCTCCCATCGCCTGCATGCCCTGTCCCACACCCTCTGACGGGCGTCTGCCTGCTCAGCCTCCTGTGACCCCACCAAGACACCCCCGCGGTCCCGGCTCCCAGGCCCTCACCACGCTCCCGAGCTGAGGAAGACCCTGCGTCCCCCCTTGCCCACCCCCCGGGGTGAGGCTCTGACCTGCGTGTGCACAATGACACGAATGACCTTGCAGTACTTCTTCATAGCCGCAAAATCCTTCTCCAGCTGCCTCTTGCCGTCCTCATCCTGCCATTTTTTGCAGTACTTGGTGAACGCCTTCTTCTTGCTCTTGTGCCTACGACGAAAGTGTTTAACATCCAGCAGAGCTGAATGGTGAAGTGCTTCTGCACTTTGCTGTGCCCTGAGACAGCGCGGCGTGGGGGGGACAGATCACCTTGCCAGGCACTTCCCTGGAGGCACAAGGTGCCTGTGGATACCTGAACCTCGCCTGGCCGCCGGGGCCACCACACAGGGCTTTGAGGTGGGAAGAGGAAAGTGAATAACGAGCTGCAGAGAAGGGCTGGTAATTCAAGCCTTTTTGCATGAGGAATCCAGTTGTCTCCCACTGACTGGCTCAGTGCCATCAAAATACATGCGCAAAATCAGAGCTAAGTGGAGAAAGGAGAAAACAGCCCCCGACAGGGATCAGAGGCATGTGGTGGGTGGATCTCAACGGCACTTCTGCAGGAGACATGATTCCTACAGTTACGAAATTCATGTTTCCATTTTCCTCTCCGCTGGTGTGGGATTTCGGGTGTTGATGTTTACAAGGGCCAGGGGTCACATTCTGCATCAATTTTCCCCAACTGATCTGGTTTTACTCCCTTCATTTGGTGCCTCAGCTCAAGTATCCCAGTTTAATGGAGAGTAAATGAGCCCGACCTACACAAAGGAAAACGAACCTGCAGCATGCACTACCATATGATATTGTGGAGAGAGCTAACTTAGTTCAACTACTAGAATAAATTTACATATGCATATGCCGATTCCCAGCATCAAGCTGTTTGCAGTATCTCTCTGCATGGCTAAATAAATAGCAGTTTCACTCCACCTCAGAGCCAGCTGCCAGCTGTTTGCAACGGCTGGGCATCATGGAGAGCCTGCGGGGAAGACCTGCGAGGGACTCCCCACTCGCAGTGCCCCAGGGACCCTCCCCAGCCGCGGAGGCACGTACCAGTTCTTGTAGAAGCGCCGCCGGCACTCATCGCTGATGTGCTCAGCAAAAACAGTCTTGAAATTCCTCAAGCCCTTCGGTGTTTCTATGTACCCCACGACCCCCACCACCACCATCGGGGGGGTCTCGATGATGGTCACGGCCTCCACCTCCTCCCTCTTGGAGGTCTCTGCAAGACAGCAAAGGGAAATGGTGCTCAGCATCGTCTAGGACCAGATCATTCCCTGGAGCCATTCATGGCCCGTGCCGTTACAGCGAGCAAGCAACGTGCTGGGGGCAAAGTCACACTCTGTTCTCACAGCCAGCCTCAGCCCTTCCATCTCCCACCTGCTGGAGGGCCACGCAGGGTTTGATCCCCAGACACCGAACAGGTTAGGCCCCGTGGCCCAGCACTCTTTAACCCATCTTCCCCGGGTTGGGGGAAGCAGTACACTGGATGAATCTTGCCCTGGAGTTCGGCTCCAGTCCTGTGGGCATCCCAGAGGGTAACATTATAAACTTCCCCAGGAGGGCGCTTCAAGCCCAGGATCTGTCAGGTAGTTACCCTGCAGAGCCCTTCCGCCAGCAGGATCCAACAAACCACCAGTCACCCTACCGGCGTGAGGACCTCCCAGGAACCCCTAAACTCAGCTCACGCTGGCCATGAGGTGGCCTTTGGCCAGCCAAGATCTGGACGGCATTACGGGAGATAGCCTGGAAGCTATGTGCTCCACCACCCGTTCCCAGGAGCAGCCTTTCCCACCAACAAGTCTTTTCCCTCGTTTCCCTCCTGGATGCGGCTCCCCGCTTCCAACAGCCAAGCCTTACTGAGCCCAGGCCTGTGCACCTCCCGCACAGTGTGTGTCATGCCAGCTTTGTAGCCCAGGAAAGCCGTCAGGTGGACCGGTTTGCTGGGATCATCCTTAGGCCACGTCTTCACCTTCCCTCGATGGCGACGGCTTCTCTTGTGGGGGAGGAAGCCCAGGTGGCCGTGCCTGGGAGCAGAGAACTTGCGGTGGGACTGTGGAGAGGAAGAACAAAAAAGATCAGCTTCACTTTCAGGTCCCAGAAAACGCCGGGACCCAAAGCACAGCGGGAAATCTCCCCTTTAACATGCTGGAGGGATTCTGGGCTCTTCCTCGATTCCAACACGACAAAAAGAACTCATAACAGGATGGGCTTGTGTTCCAGCTTCCATCATGTGCACAGAAGACTTCAGTAAGTTTCTGGACAAATGATGCCGATTAAACAAAAAAACTTGAACATAATCTCCCTCCTTCTGCTTGAGGACTTTGAAGGAGAAATATGTTCTTTAATCGGTCTGTCCTTCTGTGACGTTAATGACTCATTTTGTATTCTGCAGCACCAAAAGGGCCTGCTCAGAATTCGTGGGCTTTGTGTCGTCAAGGCAAATGGCACCAAACAAGCACAGCTAACGATCAGAAGAAACGGGAAAGGATGCCCAAAGGAATCAGTAATAAGAACATGCGCAGGTTAAATATGCACCTTGAAAACCAAATTAGAAGAGCTAAATATATAAACCCCAATCGCACGGTCATGCTGAGCCAGGCAGAGAAAAGCAACAGGGCTTTAGAGACACGGACAAGTTCTCACACAACTGGCTTCAAGGCAGGGGAACTGGGGGTCAGCCCCAGCAGCGAAGGGTTAGTTCTGCATCCACCGCAACTCCCTCCTTCCTAAGATCAGTCCCGGCACCTGGTTGCACTTTCCACCAAGCTTATTTTCCAGCCCAAGCGCAGCTCTGTTGAGTTCGACCCCGTTTTCGGCTGCACTAACATCGCCGGTAACCCAGCCCTGCTCGCTGCCCCTCTCCACGCAATCGAAAGGTAGCACTGCCGAGCTTTACGAACCATGGGACGTCTTCAGCCCAGGTCAGCCGCAGAAAGAGGCTGTCAGTAAGTGCCTCCCCGGTCTAATACTTAAGACGGTTATCGGTCCAAAGACACAAATTTAGCTACGAGCTTCACGCGCTGCTATATTAATTTCGTACTGGGCCAGGCTGGCAGGTTGGACGTAGCAGTTGCGGCGTGATAAAGGTCAATTGCCGGTGTCTCAGTTTACACCTCTCCCTCCTAAACGACTGGAACGTGAAGGGCAGGAATGAGGATCGCTTCCTAACGGGGCACCACGCACCACCCGCAGCTGCGAACGCCCGCGCCGGGCACCCCCAGCTCGGCACAGCCGGCTGCTCGGGGG